AAAAAAAAAAAAAAAAAAAAAAAAAAAAAAAAAAAAAAAAAAAAAAAAAAAATATTCTCCTTGATTTAGATTCTCGTACAGTGGTCATCGAACAACCGTCGCATTCTTGCAAACTCTGCGGTAAAACGTTCTGGAACCGAGATTCCATGTATAAGCACATGAACATGCACAAGGGCACGACCCAGTGCCCGGTGTGCCACAAAGTCCTAAGCCGCACGACGCACATGAAGCGCCACCTGAAAAACCGCCACGGCTGGCTCGGCGTGGGATCAACGCAGGACGCTGCCTCCGTCGTTGCCAACTCCAACTCGCGGTCCAACGCCACCTCCTCCACCACCACCACCAACACCAACACCACCTCCTCGTCCTCAGCAGCTAGGGGTAGCCGTGGCGCCGGCACGTCGTCCCCCAATGGCGCAGCCGATTCCGGGACCCCGACCTTCACGACCATACGCATCAGGGAGAGCAGCGTCGAGAGAATCACTTCTAGTCCCCTCCCTTAGTCCAGCGGTCGGGGGGTGCCGCAGCGAACAGTTCCACCGAGACGATCACGACGACGCCCACGACGACGAAGACGAGAGGGAGCTATCAAGAGATGAGAGCCAAGAGTTGTGCACGCGTATGCGACGCGTGATTAAAGAAAGAGAAAAAACAAAATTAAAATTATTACAATTAACTAACTAAATTCAAACCAAAACAGACACAACATATACTACCTGTCTTTGAAAAGGATTCGCGCCCTAGTCATTTATACACAAAGTCTATATATATACATTATATTTGTTTTTTGCGCGTGATTGTGCGGGTGGGCTTGAGGTAACGCACCCTCGCGATGCGTGTACATAAATATACTAAATAATGGGCGTGCATGGTGATAAATATATAAATATAAATACTGGTGTACGTGGATGTGGTACATAAATGTATACAAACAGACGTGTACGTAATTTGATATTTAACCGGCGAGATGTAAATCTATGTATGTACGTGTACGTGTGAGATCCACGATATGTAAAGTCACTGCACGTGTCGAATTTTATTCTTACGTGACACGTCGAGTGTTTACGAGAAAAGTAGTTTTCCTCGTCATTTGAATTGTATTTCGATTTTCATTGACGATCTGATGTGTTAGTCGTGTATTGTTTTATTTTCATTTATTTAGACAACATTTCCGTCGGTGTCTCGAGTTGACGTGAACTTTGCGCACCAGAGTGCTCGAACTTACTAATACGTAGTAATAATTACCACACACACACGCTGCAAAAGCTCATCTTGCAACCAAAGATAATCAGATAGGCGAATAACGTGGAAAATAAATGATATTATCTAGTCAAAGCTATTAATTTTTCCAGTACTTAACTAGCATATACATGTTTCAAGAGGAATGTGCATTTTCTCAGTGGCCGTGTATCATCGTCGTGTAAATTTTGTTACTGCGTTAGCAAGTACAAGCTGCTTTTGTATTTTTGTTTTGTTTTTTGTCTTTTTTCTTCAAATAAGTATCGATACAATTTTTACTTTTAACTTTACTAAAAAGCGTGGGGGCTTATTTTATCAAATTCGTAATAGATGTGACTGTAAACACGATGTACGAGCGAAAATATTTATTTTAATATACCCTTTCCTAATTAAAAAAAAACTCGATTGAGTTTAGTACCACAGTCGTAGGTATAATATAAATGAGCCCTCATTGCCGAACGGTCGCTAGAATGCCATACTAGTCTTGCAAGTAATGTGAGGTTATGTGCACCAAGTAATATTTTCGTGTGATCTCTGGTCTGAATGTGATTGTGAGAAAAAAAGGAAGAGAAATAAGTTGAAGAAAATTCTCATCCTAAAACTCGAAAATATCCTTAGAATAAACGATCCGTTGTATATTATATATGTATTCTCGATGTATGTTTGTAATTTTTTTTTTTTTCTTCATGATATAAGAATATAGTACCTAATTACAAGCACTTTTATACAAACGTTAAAAGCATGATCCAAAGTATTTGTCACGTAAGTTTCATCACTTGAAAATTTAATTATAATTACACTGATTTATAAAATCAAACCAATTTCCAAGATAAAATGTTTGATTTAATCAAATATTTTATATAATTAGATGCCAATGCTATGTTACACATATAAGTGCAATTACAATTTTTGCTTATAATTGTACGAATATTCCCGTAAAGAGTTTTAGTTTGTTGATGCTTTTATGCGTTTCAAAATGTAACTTAGTGAGTCGAGTATGTTATACTCCATTTGTTTTTAAAATTAAAAAAAAAAAACATTTGATCGTAACGTTAAAAAGATCAGGTACGTTTATGCAATGAAAAAATATTTGCTATGTAATAGCGAAAAAAATAAAAGTTGATAAAACTTATTCTACCATAGCAAATAATTTTTATGTATTAGTTTTCCGTGTTCACTTTGCTTTATGTAGCTAACCAAATGTTAATCCAAAGCGCAAATGAAAAGAAGAATTATATTATTTTTGTTATTTTAGACAAATAATGAACATGCACATTCCTCGTAAGTCACAATAATTTTAAGTACAAGATTGCCAATTATTATTTTGCTAAGCATACAAATAATAATAAAATCTATATAATTATACTTAGTTAAACATACACCCATGTGCAAGCGTGCCAACGTGTGTATGTATAATTGATTGATAATATATATATATATATATTTCGAAAGTAAGTAAATTTATGTTTGGCTTACTAAACCATGTAAGTAAAAATATGTGTGAATAAAATTTTAAAATACCAAATCGCAGCTAAATCAATTATACCTCCTCATTAAAATTTACTTAATACATGCAAAAAGGAACTTTATTTTTTATTTCAAGTATGTTATTGTTGTTTAAATTTACCTAAATTGAATCCATAATTACCCAAATACGTTATCGACTAATGTATTTATGGTATTATTTAATAACACTGTTATCTCAAAATTCGATGTAAATTAAGGTATAGTCTAGAAAAAGGATGTTTCATTGGATTCGATAAAGGAAATGATTGAAAAGTTTGTTACCTAAAATGTAGTATAAAACACCACCAGTCAAGGTAGACGAATGGAAAATTGGCACCCAGTAATATTCATTTTTTATTTTTATTTTTTTGTTATAAACACACAACTCCACATAGTTTTAGATTCAAACACAGATATCACCATGCAATCGAATTTTTTGTCACGTATACCTAATAAAATTTTAACCAAAAGTGTAGAATACACGGATATCGCGTGATCAGTTTTTCAGAGAAGCATTTACCCCTAGGGTGCTAACATAAACTGACACGCGTAGCAGCAATGCATGCCTGAAAAACGTGCTGAAAAGATTCAAAGAAAAAAGAAAAAAAGAAAGAAAAAAAAAATGTATAGCGGTATGATAATGCGTGGGCAAAAATGGCAAACATAAACCATAAACATAAAAAAAAAAAAAAGAGAAAGAAGAATAAGCAAAGATGAGTGAAAGGGAGAAGGGGATGTGTGTGACAAAGGTGTTAAATGTGTGTTGCAGGCGGGGTGGGGGTGGTGGTGGGCCGAAAGCGGAAGTACGCCACGCAGCAGCTGCCCGGCGAGGAAGGAGCTGCCGGCGGTGGGGCTGCCGTTGCCGGTCAAGTGGTGATGCAGGGCCCGGGCCGGTTCTCGTGCAGCCTCTGCGGCAGCGTTTACAAGCACCTGGCTTCGCTGACCCAGCACCTCGAGGTGCACCGCAACCAAACGACCTGCGTCCTCTGCCACACCACGCTCAGCCGTAGGACCGATTTGCGCCGGCACATGCGCCTGAAGCACAACATGCAGTGGCAAAAGTCCACCCTCCAAAGGCACCGCAGGTCCAAAAACAAAGGATCCGACTCGTAAGGGCGAGGCAGCTTGTCGAGAGCAAAGCAGTGACTTCACCTCGCGTTGTCGTTGAACAAATTATTTGACGGCCTGTACCTGTACTTTTCGGTCATTTCCGTCGCACACCGAATCTCTACTGGGAAAAAAAAAAAAAAAAAAGTGATCGAGCCGATCTGTCGCTACTGCCACAGCTGCTTATGGTCTTCGTTTTCAGGTATACCTACACGCAAAGCGAATTCGAATCGAGCGAGCAAAGCTGCATAGACAACAACAACAAGCAACTATACTACTATTACCATATACCACGACACCATACACACGATCGAATACGATCGAGAAACTATCAAATTACCGATATCCTCCATGTATTTACATTTATGAAAAATGAATACATTCATCGTTTGCACACAATCGCGTTCATTGTACTTTTGCTGTGTTTCATTTATTTTTTGCATCAGCTGTACACAGCTGTTTTTTTTATTATTTACTATGAAAAAACGAACTCATTAATTTTATTTTGTTTTCGTTCCTTTGACGATGTTAGGATTTATTAGTATAGGTAAAAATGAGCCGAGTGTCGATAGATCGGCGTTGGCACAAACACTTAACGAGTACAATTGAATTTACAGAGTAAGATAGAACCTGCCTATATATATACACGTTATCGTTCACAACATGCGTAAACTCTGCCAATGCATATTTATTTTTCAAGTAGATTTTACATGCATACATGAATAAAGGACATTGACCCGAGATACATGTGCATCTATAGTGAGAAAACTGCTGTAAACTGATTGCGATTATAATGTTATACGACAGGACTCGAGATTACTTGCACTAGTCACTAGAACGTAAGTTATACGTATACATATACGTGTATAAATTCGCACATAGTATCTATATACATGGCACGTTTTTCGAGAAGCGCATGCTTTGTTGAGCATTTTTTTTTAGCTTTAACATGTTGTGTTTAACTGTGACTAAATGTAAATCTTTTTATTAAATTTTTTTTTATTCGATGCGTAATGAGTTTTGTAACGTGCTTTTAAATTTACAATACATTATATGTATACTAAGTAGTAAAATTCTAGTAAAAATGGTATTTTTAGGAAACACTAGTCTTTTAGATGTTTTTAGTTATGATAACTGAAATAAATTTTTTTTTACAAGTATAAAATATTTTCATCACAACAGAGAAAACATATCGAAAAATACACAATTAGTATCCTGGGGCTGTGAAATCCATACTAGTCTTGCAAGTAATGTGAGGTTATGTGCACCAAGTAATATTTTCGTGTGATCTCTGGTCTGAATGTGATTGTGAGAAAAAAAGGAAGAGAAATAAGTTGAAGAAAATTCTCATCCTAAAACTCGAAAATATCCTTAGAATAAACGATCCGTTGTATATTATATATGTATTCTCNGGTAAATTCATCCTCTTGGATGCTAGATCTCATGGAAAGAATTTTTAATAATAAAGGTATTAACATTGTCGATTTTTAAAACAAAATAACGCAGTTTGTTAAGTGCCATGAACTTCAATCTGCATTTAAATAAAGCACAAATTTGTACCATTGAAGATGTAAGATTATAAACTAAGGCAGAGAAAATAATCCATAATTGTTCAACAAATCAATCACTGTTTTATTTTATTTTTGTAAAAAAAAACGTAGATACTTGAAATAATGCTATAATACAAATGAGAGTTTATGTAACAGAGTATATTAACGAAAGAAAATTATCATCACCTAATAAAATCTAGAAGTGCCCAGTATTTGCTATATAGTATAAGTAGAAGATAAAGTATAAAGATGATATATGTCAAATGTATAGGATTTATAAACATATAACTTGCGCGTGTCACCGTGAGAAATGTGTCAGAGTGTGTTATTTAATTATTTTAGCAATGAATGATTAAGATAACAAATGACTAAAATTAATTATACAAAAATCATTTAACCAAAATGAATTATAATGTATTTAAATGTTTATAAGTAAAAATAGAGCTTGAAATTGCATATTCCTGAACTTTTTGTGTTTTATTGTCCAATTATAAAAGAAACGTGTTGTATTATTCAAATCGATTGATCTCCATAAAGTTGTTATTAGAAATTACAGAACAAATTTTAAAATTGCTTTAACATGACGAAGCTATCAATAATTTGTGAGTGGAAATACACACGTTTATGTAACAAATGAAACGAGTCAATGTGTGTGTACATGTATATAGAAAGTTTAGATGAAATGCTAAAAAATTAGTGCTTCAAAATAATTTATAAAATTAGAAGAAATCGCTACAACGCCAGTAGCATGTCTTAGTGAATTGATGTAAGTACATATTTTGTACTCATGTAACACTAAATCAGATGAAATGGGTTTTATTTTATTTAAAAAAGTTTTTTTTTTTTTTCTGTGGAAACGCTTAAATTGAAATTTAATTCAAGATAGTTTAAAAACGTGTCGGAAATATCTAAACAATTTGTTTGTTGCATCTTATTACTCTAAGTTTGAGAAATTCAATATTAAACGAAACTTTTATATCATAAAAGGACACAGTTTATTTAAAAATCTCCCAAATCAGTGGCTTTTATGCGTTAATCAACATTACCCTAAATTCCTTATTTGTTTTAATGCACAGAAAAAATTTTGGATAATTTTGTGGGAATAAAAAAAAATAAAAAAAACCAGTTAAAACATTTAACATGTGATATGCGAAAGTTAATGGTTGTTATTTTACTTGAATCAACTCGTTTGGTTGTTATTAAAATTAAATTTAAAAAAAGTTAATATTCTATGTAGTTTTCTTTTTTCTGTTCGCGATAGATTGCAACTATGACTTATGGGGATTATTAAAGTGACCAATAATTTAAACTCAACTCGCGACGCATCTGGAATCGTAGATCGTAGTTTTCCCGAGTTAAAATAAGATTCCTTACCAAAGCACTTTGCTCGAGCTCCGTTTCTGACTGGAGACGAAAATTAAAAATATCATATTTTCTTAATTTTTGCGAGCTACGGATATCAAATGGCGTGCCAACGCACAACCTGATCCAATTAAAGTGCAAGTAAACTTGATATGATAGTTTTTGAAGACAAAAAGACTTTAAGCTCAAGAGCAGGTAAGTACAATCTAGTGGAAACGGAACGCATATGAAGCCCACTACAGGTGTCCTGGCTGGCCTGGATATGAAGTACTTACAAAAGAGATGTATCTATATACGATCAAAAATTTATCTTAATTCTTACCGGAGCTGCGTTTGAAAATTTTCGTCTACATGCAAGGTACCTACTTGCTTCGGTTGGACGATAATACGCATATTATTTCTCGTGCACTGAAATCGGTCCCTGAATGGTGACGATTTCATAAAATACTTTAATAATTAAATGACAAATAGTTGTCACAACTGCTCTGTATTTGAGAAAAATAATTATACCAAGACGTATAATTATTATTCGAGAGTAGCAGAAAAAATAGCACATATCACGTGTTGCATACTTTGTGTTGAAAAAAATGAAATGAAATTTTTATGAATACGAACTTTTGATGATGAAACGAAATTGATGGTTAAGTTTATAATTTTAACATCTACTTCTCAATAAAAATCAACTAATTTTATTTTTATCAAAGTAAAAACGATTTACAAATTAAAAAATTTTTTTTTTATTCATTACCTGAAACTTTACATGTTCATAAATAAAAAATTTCAAATTATTATTTTTTTTAACTATTACAATAATTTTTTCTCTTGACGACTCCATAAGTCAAATTTCATTTTATACTCACAACTCACAACATAGAAAAATCAAATTAAATTAAAACTGTTTTACAAATCAAAAAACAAATGAATAAAGACTAGAATTTAATTTACTCTTCTAAAAATAAAGTTTTTAGTTTGAAACTCATATAATAAGGCTGTCGTTCTGATCCATCGTTTCTCTCATAGTCCTCCAAAACACACAAAAAGATGGTATCAATGGCTATTCTAAGTGCAGTTGAAATAAACGTTGTTGTCATCAGGGAAATAATGAGTACCGCTATTAACACAAAAGATGTTGCTTGCTGGGGCATATTTTCAGCTGTACAATATTTATAAGCTCCCAATACCGAAAGGGTAGTTGCAAATACTTGTCCAAGAAACAGAATAACATCCGTCACCTAATGGGAAAATTTTCATTTTTCAATTACTTCAACATAACAATTGATTTAAAAAAAAATTAAAAAAAAAAAAAAGTTGTACAACCGAAATCATCCTTACATTGTTTATAATGAAAACTTTAACTACGTTCCTCATGAGTAGATTAAAGGCGTCTTTCGCGGATTCCAAAAAATTTTTTCCATGAACAGCGCACATTATGTAAGCGTTGCGATTGATGTATCTCACAATTTTTTCCAACCTTCCAAATAAACGGGTATAGCACCCGCAGCACAAGCAAGCCAGCGGATTACACTTTCCTTCCAATCGCTTTTTAATGAAATTTAGTAGAGCTTTAATGAACTGACACACAGCTAAAATCAATGATCCAAATGCTATTGTGCCGAGATGGTGACTGAAAAAAAAAAAAAAATCAAATATAAAAAGGGTAACATTTAAAAAAATTTCACATCAATGGAAACTGCGTTCTAATTACTTGAACGTTATTTTCGTGCAACGCACAAGAGTATCCTTTGGTACATTATTTTTATTATGTGTCCAAAACCAGGTCGCAAATGTTCCGGATAAAATAAACTGAGAAAGACTCCCAATAAAACTTGCTACCCACAAATATCCGAAGGAATTAAAAATGTGAAATAGTTTGACATGAAGTGGTCCATCAAACTTTACAGCAATAACGTACAAAGCGATACCTACAGTTCCTGAAAAAACTGTAACAATCAGACAAATAAAGCACGGCAGCAGTGGAAATAATAGTGTGCTCGGGAAGAACATGACGCACCTAAAAAAAAAAAAAAAAAAAAAAAAAAAAATAAATAAAGGAAAGACGGTAGACATTAATTAATAGTAAGATCTTTTAGATCTTACCTGTTTCTTAGACCATTGTTAGAAATTTTACCACCAAATTTAGTTTTTGACAAAAGGGCTAATAAATAATCAAGACATTTCAATGAGCATCTGACCTAAATGGATGCTGCATTAACAGATCATTATTCTTTATTAAATCTTAGTTTTCAAATACTATTGTAATGTACCGAATGTCTGATGGACTGTATTATCTCAAGCCATGGTTCGAATAAAATAACCAGTATTGCTGTACACTACACTCTAAAAACGAAAATTTACGGGTTTCATTGTTTGAATCAATCTAAAAGTTATATTAGCCATATTATAACATATTTTGAATGTTAATTTAAAAAAATGAAAATTGGCTATCAATTATGTTTTAGCTGAAACCATTTTATTTAATCACAAAAATTCTTCAACGAAAAAAAATTCAAGTTAGTTTCCAACTAAGAGCTTGTAAAATTATTATTTGTACGGAATCACTGGTAATGTTAATACTGATTTCAGGGCGATGAGATGTTCTAAAGGGTCCTAGATTGTAAGGTTCTACTCTTGATAAATTTTTGAAGCATAGATGGAAGAGGGCCTGAAATATGATAAATTTTTTTTGGTGTATTTAATAACAACCTTGAAACACGTATGTTTCTGTTTAATCTCTAAATACCTGATTATTATGGTTTTTGTCAGCTGTCTCGTCACATGCTGTGAAAAATGTACAATGTTGAACTAAAATTCTCATTTGGCTATGAAACGTCGATTCTAATAAATATTAGCAACGTTCGAACTAAAGCTGTTTTAATTTCTTAAAGAAATCTATGTTTAGGAAAAATGTTTTTTCGTAAAATTATTCCTGGCTTTTAATCTTGGACTCGTATAGATTTAAATATTTAAAGTTTTATGAATTTTTGTGTGAAATAATACTGATGTAACTGTAATNAAAAAAAAAGAATGAAATTCATTCAAGTAGTTAAAACTAAAGTATGTGAAAAATGATTTTTAAGATGTACTCACTTGCTGGCTTCCACGATCACTTCGCATGCAATGTTAATTTTTTTGCGAAGAAATAAAAAGAGAATAGATATCCCAACGAATACAATGGCACAAAGTAAAAATAACGCTAATGACCATCCGCTGGAGATGGTGGCATACATGGATGCCGTGACACAAGTTGCGATAAATAGGATGGCTAAAATAGCTGCTATCACGGTGTAGACGATAAACTTGGCAGACCATCTTAAGGACGCAATGTAAGCAATAGACAAGCCTATCGATGCCAGAGTAAATAGAAATATGGAAAAACTGAAATTAAAAATAAAATGTTTCAATACATTGTTTTTCTTTTTGTCAGGATTGTCAATATTTGTGTTACGCGTATTATGTTTTTGTAGTAAGTGGTAAGCTCCGTGAAAATTTTCGAGTTTACCTTACCGGGATTCACACCCCAACTCTACTGTACAGCCGTACCTCTCAGTTTTCTATACCACTTGAACAAGATGCGTGTGCTATACATGAACCATCAACTGAGATACGACTATACTTTTGGAAATGGTATGGGGTTTGTATTTGGTGGCGCGTATCGTCAAGACAAGCATTGGGCCCGAGGAACCCTTGTACATGTCCTGATTGGATGATGCGCACCAGGTACGGTCCCTTATTTCCTATACTGAGGGCGTAGTGAACGTTGTAAGGTAAAAAAAGGCCCAAAGTAGGGTAAGGTACATACTCGTTGCTCAAAAATTTTTACAAAGTGCATGCGTATATATATATTGTAGTGGAAAATTATTGAACTTTTACCAGATTTTGTTCATCAGATTGGGATCGTTATCTGCTTGGTTGGCCTGTCGTTTATGGCGATTCAATTCAAACCCAAATGGCGATGGGCCGATGTCACTGGAGTCCTCAAAATTGAAGTTTCCAAAAGCTGTACACCGCAGAGAAGCAATCATTTTCGTACCAATAAGTTTACTAATTATAACTAATCCGTCGTTTATATTTAATGTGTAGGAACTCACCATAAATGGCTATTCCCAGCCATACGACGGAAAAAATGCCGAGTGCCTTCAAGAACCGAACGTCGGTTGGACTGCGCTGTTTGCACATGGGCCCCGACCATAGGGGATCGTAATCAAACTTTTTACCTAACGATTGACAAATATGATTATACACGTGTCCCACAAAAAATTAATTTCTTCTTTTCTACCAATTTTTACCAAAAATATACGATTCGGCTTTTCAAACAAACTTATAGTGGTTCTCTTTACATGAGCGGTTGTTGAGAAAAAACAAAAAAAAATTGGTCTCGTTCGAATTGCCGGGCACAATTTTTTTATCGGGTACGAAACAATGGAATAAAAAATTGGTAGAATTTCCGTGAGGCAAAGTGAAAATACGTCACGTCATCTAAAATATGCAAAACAAAACGAACATTTTTCTTGACGATTTCACTATTAGACTCTTATAAAGGATGAAAAAAAAAAAAAAAAAAAAAAAAAAAAAAAAAAAAAAAAAAAAAAA